ACTTTCCTTGCACCGACTACATGTCGATATCTTCTTCTCTTCACCCTTAGACGGTATACGATCGTGATTTTTTGGTAGGCCAGATAGCCTGCTGTCCATGACTGGTGGCAAAACTGTTTGTAAGTCATCTGGTATGTCCCACTCAGAAGAATGTGGAATAGGGTAGAAAATCTCAGCATAAGTCTGTCGATATACTTCTGTAGTGTAGCAATCCATAGCGTATGCTCTTGAATCATCTTGGTTTAGATGAAGAGCAACTTTTATAACATGGCCACATGGATAACCAAATGTTTTCCATTTCATACAACTACACGTCTTTGCATTTATATCGACAAACCCATTTAAGTTATTATCCAATACTTCAAACAAAGTGTTTGAACATGGTACAACTCTCCATAACGTTGACTTCACAACACGCTTCGTTATCTTTTTTTCAGTCCATGGTGTAACACGACGTTCCAATGTTCCTGTAAATTTAAATAAATAATACTTAGTAAAATATATGATAAGTTACGAATTTAAAGAAATAATACATGCATGGTTTCTTTTCTTGTAGTACCACTGTTGAATAGAGGCTCGAAAAAACTCCATTAAATAGTAATGGGTAATTTCTAAGAATGACGACTTAGAGCGTTGATTGATTATGCACTATTAGACGTCATGAAACCATATCTTGCTCCAAGTTGATGTACTATTGACCATCTTTGAAACCCGACATCTTCTAGTGTTTGAGCACATTGAGGCAAAACACGTCTTAAACAATTTATATGCTTATTAAAATCCACTTCCCGATAAGCTTTTACAGCCTTTCAGTATGTCCATTTGTGATTTTTATACCAGCAGACCTTGATTTTAGATTTCTGTACAAATGAACACCAAAAAGTCCATGAAAAGCATCTGGGAAACACCTTCTAACAACGTTGTCAATTGAGTTTGCCCTATCGGATATGATTGTCAGATTCCTAATAGGACCTATGCAATCCCTAAGATGCCCCATAAACCATGTCCATGAATAAGAGGTTTCAGATTTGCTAACCCCGTAAGCTATTGGCAGTATCCCCATTGTACTGCTAATAAGTTTACTCCAATGTATCGACCTTTCAAATGTGCTCCGTCAACTATAATAACTGGGCGCATGCAAGTAATAAACGAACGAATCTACAAAATAATATACACAAGACATATAATCATTTAAATGTGAAATGCATGTAACTAACAAAAATGAGTCAACAAAATTATATTGATTTACTAACCGCAGCACCAATGGCGATAAACATCAACTCAAAGCGTCCATCTCTATCTGTTTTGATATGAGTTACCGACCCATGATTTTTCAACTTTAAATTGTGACAATAAGCCGACAGTTGGGCAAACGATGCTTCTGGAGACCCCCTCAACAATTCAAAGGCATAACATTTGGCTCTCCAAGCTTGAGAATATGAGATACTAATCTTGAACCAAGCATTCATGTCAGTCATAATTTCATGTCCCCGATATACTTTGCCATTTAAAAACATTAACTCAGCCATAAAACCACCCAACACCTTTTTGTGTGCCTGTCTATGGTGAGGAAAAACTTGTGTTCTTGAACATGTATGTTTAACAATAAAAGTCCTAACTTGAAACATTTCGCAATCTTTTATCCTCTTTGCAATCTTACGCCACGTACAGTTTTTGTCAATCATACACTTTGTTTCGAAACGATCTTTGCTTGATTTGTTAACTTTTAGTTGATAGCCATTTTCCACACATTTCGTATACAAAGCTATCTTCAAGTCTTCCTTTGTATCAAAATAATCATCTTTCTTGATACGAATAACTTTTGTGTAATAATCAACTGCTATCTTTACCAACTCTTCTTCCGGTATCTAAAGTAATTCTGGCATATTCCAGTTATACTCCCGTGGCATTTTCTTCTTTTTCTTTTCTTCGGGGACTTCTTCTTCTTCTACTTTTTTTTCTTCTTCAGGGTTATATGAATTACAGAATAGGTGTTCAACATGTTCATTCACAGTCGTAACTTCCTCCTCATTATCATCAACAGCATCTTCCTCGGTAGAGGCTGTTTTATCATCAAAATTCGGGTATTGATCAATATCAAAATCATTACACGCAGGGTTTGTTTCTTCTTCTGAAACAACATCAAAATCCGAGTATTGACCAAGATCAAAGTCCAGGTATTGACCAAGATCAAATTTCGAATACTGACTAGTACTCATAATTTTTTCTGTTGGCTCATAATCGTCTAACTGGTCAATACGAAAACTGGAATTTGGTGCTGAAAGTTGATTGAGATTTGGATTAGGAAAAGGTTGTGGGTTTTGAGATTGTGTTTGGTATTGGAAATGTGGTGAAATAAAATTTTCTTGGTGATGAAATTGTGGTGGAACCATTAAATTTTGAGGTTGATAACAACGTTGTACATTGTGAGAACCATAAACTGGGGTTGAAGAACTTAGTTGATTACTACCCGCTACTGACCCAACTTCACTACTTCTAGGTTCAACAACATACAATGTAACATCATCTTCTTGCGAAACACTAATGTAAGCAATGAATCGTTCAACATCTTCATTGTCGGTTAACAAATAAACTTTACCTTTTCTCTGATAAGATAGCCTAAATCCACTTAGAGGCTCTAAATTCAATTTCTTTGCAACACGTAACATTAGAGTTTCATAAGTTAACTTTTTTAATGACAGTTTAAGTTGAAGATTCATGGGTAAAGGCACATATTGTAAAACACCATGAACATTCTCCCATGACCCTCCAAAACACAAATCTATCCAAACATGATCAACATTAGATGATTTCATTCTACAAATTGTAAATTAATTTACTAAACAAACGAGCTATAAACTACATATCATCACTAACTTAGAGAAAAACATACCTTTATTAAGTTGATAGTTGATAATTTGGGAGAGAAATCATTGAAAAATTATATAGAAATAAAATTATGTAAAAAAATTAGAGATGGAGAAGGATGCCGTTGGATATAGGAACGGATGTCGCCGGAGAGAGTGATAGATAGAGATGAAATGAGTTGCGATTTAGGGATTTAGGTTATGAGTTGCTGCTGCTGCGTAGTTATATACCCAAAAGATTTGTGTTGCGAAACTAAAACCTGTTGCGAAATTAAATTCGTGTTGCGAATTCAAAAATCGAGTTGTGAATTTGAAATTCAGTTGCGAATTTGAAATTCAGTGTTGCGAATTTGGAAAACGCGTTGGGAATTTGACTTCTTTGTTGTGATTTTCTAAATTCGTGTTGCGAATTTGGAAACTGGGTATTGAAATTGGAGTTCGCGTTGCGAATTTATTGGTCATTTTCGTAAATCCAAAAAAAGTTGGTTAAAATCATATATTATAAGGCATTTTCGGTTACTGAGATTATTTCTCTTCAATTAATCGATTATCATATATTATTCATTGAATTGTTAAAAGATAGAACAGACCTTAGAAATAGTTGTTAGTGTCTTTTAATTATTTTCTTAATGGACAGATTATATTATAATTTATTCAATTATTAGCAAGGGTATAAACATATTTTTTTGAACAATTCTTACATTGTGAAGGGGGAATGGAAAATATTATAAACATATTAATTTTAAAGAGTAACAAATGAGTTAATTAATCCAAAAAAAAAACTTTAAAAATATTTTGGGTTTTTAGTTCCTTAAAAATTCCGAGACAATTTATGACTTTTGAGAGATTATTGAGATATTTAGTCCGATGAACTGAATGAAATAATCGAGATGGTCTTATGATAAAACTTAAAGTTTTTTTATTATTGTATACATAATTGACGGAGGTTGGCACGGTATCATATAACTTGATTGTTACAATCAACTAATTTCGTATCATGATAATAACTCTTTACAATATAATATTTTTAATGAATAAAATATTTAATATCAGAAAATAGTATAATATTTAACGGGCCAATGACTTATTTATAATCATTGATTAATTGAGTGATTTATTTAAAAATTTTAAAACTAAATAATTATTTTATAATTTCATTAATAATTGAATCCCATGTTACATAATTTATCCTAAAACTTAAACTACTATCTCTAATAATAAACTATAGCTAACACAGAGCTGTAGAGATTCTTTTTCTAATCAAGTGGGAAAGAAAAGTAATCGAAATGTCACCTCAACTATTTAGCTTAACACTGATCTGTGGAGATTTAAACTACTATAATAATTGAGATGTTATTGTATTACGTAAAATAATAATAAGAATATGTGGTGAACGAACTCCCGACAAGCCAGATTAAAAAAGTAGACGTGATGTGATCCCATTATTTATTTATGGACTTCGTTTATTTAGTGATGCAAACTGACAACTATTGCAATTTTTAAATAATAAGAATATTAATCTATTTCTTTTATCATTTTCTACTTTTACAACCTTTTTGTCTCTACTTTAGACACTGCCTTTCTTGTCCTCATCTACTATTTTTCTATCTACATTCATGTCCCTTTCTATCTACATTATTTTAACCATACAAATATGGTGTTGGATTAAAATTTATTATGGTGAGCATATATGTATAATATAAAATATTATTGTGAGGTATAACATAAAATTAAATGATTGATTATATTGTAAGTGTCATAGGTATTAAAGTGTCATGAAATTAAAGTCTAAATATTACAATTTGTATTTATAATTCGATAAATGGTAGAATTATAAATATTTGAAAGATTGATTTAACATTCATATTATATAAAGATGTCTTCAAGAAATAGGTTAACTTGTATTATTCTTATTCGGTTAGAGAATTTTTATGGCAAAAGACAACTTATATTTTTTAGACTAAAGAAAAATTCAAATATTTTAACCTATCAATTAATTGAAATATGTTTATGCATCTAGTGTTTTATTTTTTATTAGATTTTAAAATTTTGATTTTGTATCGATTAGGTATTGATTCCCAAAAGCCCAAAAATGCTAAGCAACTTGGGATGGATTGACTTACATTACATAGCCATGGGTTTCTCCTCTATTGCAATGACCCAAACAATCAGAAGCGGTTCGAATCAGGTACTTTACTATATGTAAGACTCTGCTGCTGATTACCATTCATTCTTACACGCAAAACCATCAATGGAATCTCAACCACCTGAAGAACGAAGCCAGCAGAGAAGCAAAGGCCTCCCTCAGGTCCTAGTCATGAAACCACCACCACTTTTGACACTTTTCGAGGACAAATTCATCTCAAGCAAATTCCAGCTCTTAAAAGCATGGGAATCAACTCTTCCTCTAGATCAATTCTTGACCACCTACGCAGGCTCAGTTCGAGCCGTCCTCTGCTCCGGTGCTACCCCTATCACCCCTCGCATTATCCGGCTACTTCCTTCGTTGCAACTCGTCGTAACCGACAGCGCAGGCGTCAATCACATCGACTTGAATGAGTGCAGGAGGAGAGGCATAGCAGTCACCAATGCCGCGGGTGTGTTTTCAGATGATGCTGCTGATGCGGCTGTGGGTTTGTTGATTGATGTACTTAGAAAAATCTCTGTTGCTGACCGGTTCGTTCGACATGGTCTCTGGCCTGCCAAGGGAGACTATCCTCTCGGTTTCAAGGTCATCATTTCTCTTTTTGTTTGTTTTACGTTTGTGGATTTCGTTCGATTTCGGGGACATTTATTCTCAAGTTTTGATTCATTACTAATTCTCAAATTTGAGATTTCATCTTATAATTTAATTTGAACCTCTAATTTAGACTAAGATCATAACTGATTTTCAAATATATAGATCGAACTTTCAAAATCATTATAAATTATTATTACAGTGAAAATAATATTATTCTCTTCATATTCGAGTTCGAACAGTTGTGTTTGTAGATTGTGAATGTTATCGATAAAATTAAGAAAATTTTTGAATGTATATTATCTTATTGTTTACCTTAGACTACTCAAAAACAAATATAAAACTTTTGACATATCCACTAAAAAGGATGATCAAAAGGGAAGAATTCATGATTCTTCAATTCCACATTATGTCTTTAGATTTCTGGGTTTTCATTTGATTATAACAATCTTTGACCAATTGCAATTTTGTGCAGTTGGGAGGCAAGAGAGTTGGGATTGTAGGACTTGGAAGCATAGGCTCAGCAGTTGCTAAAAGGCTAGAGGCCTTTGGGTGCACCGTATTATACAACTCAAGGAAACCCAAACCATGGGTTCCATACCCTTTCTACTCCAATGTTCATGAACTCGCAGCCGACAGCGACGTCCTCATCGTTTGCTGCGGATTGACAGCCGAAACTCGGCACATGATTAACCGACGAGTCATGGTGGCGCTAGGAAAGCAAGGGATCATCATCAACGTAGCACGCGGAGCCATTATCGATGAGAAAGAAATGGTGGAGTGTTTGGCACATGGGGAGATCGGAGGAGCTGGTTTAGACGTGTTTGAAAACGAACCTAATGTTCCTAAACAACTGCTTGAATTGGACAATGTAGTGCTGTCACCGCATAGAGCTGTTTTTACACCAGAAGGTTTCATGGCTGCCTGTGACCTGGTTGTTGCTAACTTGGAAGCTTTCTTTCAAGATAAACCATTACTTTCTCCGCTCATACATGAATGAATTATTAAATGTAAACAATTAATGTAACAAAAAATACGCAAACAATTAAGTTTTATTTTGCTAAAATATTTTTGTTTCAAAAATTATTAGGGTAACTTAGTCATTTTTTTCTTTTCGTCATTCTTATTTTGATCATCGGTTTTAAAAAAAAATTATGTTTTGGTCATTTATATTATCAGTTCATTACATTTTGATCATTGAGACTTTAACTCAGGTTAGTTTGTTGATGTAGTATATTTTTAAAAATGTATATATTTTAACTTGATCCCAAGATTTTAGATAAGATATTAATTTGATCCTAAACTTTAGATAAAATACTAATTTAACCTCTGAATTTTAAATAAAATGTCAATTTGACCCTTGAATCCAACCAAAGTCTCCCCGCCGAACGTAACTCATCATCGTTGTTGGTCACGATCAATCGTTTAACCCCAAAATTTTCAATTCACTCTTTTTTTACCTTCATAATGTGAATCCAATGCCTCTTTCATCAAGAAATATTTGGAGCTCCACAAACTTAGTCTAGAACCCTTCAAATTTCTTTAAAAATAAATCGTAACAATAAATTTATCATTATATTCCTTTAAAAATAAGACAAATATATATCGTAACACATTCATATTATAATAATTTAATCATTAAATTTAAAAAATTATTTACATTAATTTTTATCATTCATACCACATAAAACTAAGGGGATTTTAGTTCACAGAAAAGATCATTACTAGAGGAATATTCTTTTTAGAGATTATATTCTCATATTTGGTTTGTGGAAAAGATCATTATCATATAATAACTTATTATCAATAGTAATAATTTTGGTTAAAATGGTGGGAATGTCATTACATTCAAATTTTTATGTATTGCATTATTCATGTCATTTTGGACAAAAATATATGAAATAATAAGTTTGATTTAGTAAAATATTTGAATAATTAAAATTATTTTATATTTTAAATATTTAATATAGTAACTATTTATATTTCTTTGGTGAAAAAAATGATATTTTTGTAATAAATAATTATTTAAAACAATGTCTATCTTTGAGTTATTAAAAAATGGATCTTATACATTGAAAAATAACATCTTTGTCCACACGAAATCATAACATTATTTTTTTCATATTACATTATATTTTAGATAAATAAATATGATACTTATAAAAATATTTAAAATATAAGTTTGATATACTAATTATATTAATTATATTAATTATATATTAAATGTATTTTTTTTCAAAATTTAGATTGTGTAATGATTAAAATATTCCTATGAATTTTCATTCAAATATTTATAATCTAATACTCCTTCCGTCTTACTAGATGTGTTCATTATTGAATTTTTAAAAGTAAAATATTTTAAACTTTAACTATTATTATTTTAAACAATTTTAATTTGTTCTACCGAGAAGGAAGCATAAGAGCCAAAAGTTTTGATCTCTGCACGTGAGGAGGGGTTTCCATAGATAGCTAAGAACATCAATTTGATATCTAATCGGAGAGCTACTGGGCAACGGTGCAGCTGGAGTCGAGGCTGAAATATAATAAAAGAGGGTTCTATATTTTATTTAACTATTAATATTTGATCTATTGATCGATTATGTCGGATCGAATTTTACAAATGTTCATTATGGAGGATCTCAATCCAATTTATTCTAGAAATGTTCACGTGCGACAACCTTAATATACGACTAAAAAAATGAGCTACCGGTTTTGTTATTGTTTAAATAACAAAACCGGTAAAAAAAATGATCGGAAACTGTCGACACTCGATAATTTTGTCCCGTTATTATTAAGTTATTATTATTATTATTATTTAAGATTACTAACATAATGTTTTTATTTACAGATTCGACCCAAATACCCCAAACCCAAATTACAGTCCAACAAACCTAAGGATGAAAACCCAATACCAACTAGGGTTTCATCATGTAGCTTCAGCCGCACGATCAAGTTGGAGATGGACGGTCTAGATCAACCCTCAGTTAAGATTTCCCCTTTGGATGTTGTCGTCGCCTTGCAAGAGCTGTCCGATTTGGACCCATCCAACGGTCCAGATCGAGCCCAGGCCACCGAATCTGGCACCATCACAGACTTTTCCACAAACTGACAACTGGATTCACAAGTCAAACATCAAGACCAAGACAAACCCGTGATTTCAATCTATTTTTTACTTCACTCATGATGTTTCAGAAAAAAAAGAAAAAAGAAAGTAAAAACCTATTGTAGAATCAGTTATATAACCTGAACGAAAAAATGTAAAGAGGGGGGACTCCCAGATTCGAAAAGCAATAAAAATAACAGAGTTATTTTCAAGGTATATTTTAGTTTCGAAAACATAGAAATAAACTCTTTGCATACAATATATATATATATATATATATATATATATATATATATATATATATATATATATATATATATATATATACGAGTCTAAAAGAGGGTCGATCAGTAGCTTACTTGAGTCGGAGGGAGCCTTCACGGTGGGCGGAGTTCAAGGAAATCAAATAGTTGAGGTTAGATTTATGGTTGTTTGGGTTTGTTTAGGGAGTTTTTAGGTTTAGTTTAGTGCATAGGGTAGTAGATCTAGGTGTTGGGATCTTTTTGGGTGAATTTTGGGGCTCCGACCACCATACAAGGTGGCCGGAATGATGGCCGAACGACAAGTTGGGTTGGCCAGGGAGTGTCCGGTCGAAGATTGAGAGAACTTCTCTCATTTTTTTAAAACCAAGTGAAAATGAAACAAAAAAAAGATAAAATGGTGGTATATATAGGCTAATTTGGTATAATTGCATCTTAAATGACTCTAATTTTAGCGTGTTTTACAAAATAATCACTAGTATGGACCAATTTCATTTTTTTTCCATTTTTCTCTATGTTTTATAATTTTTGATTTAATCATAGTTTAATCCCCTACATTCACCTCGTATTTGCACTTTGGTCATCGATTTTGCAGTTTTTATATTCCAGTTTCGAAATTGTTGTCCTGATTGTGTAATTTTTATTCTTATTTCATTAATATTGGCTGAGATAAATAATTGGTAAAATTGTATCTTTAATATTCAGTATCGGATCCCTTTAACTTTAGTGATAGAATTGCTTTTTAGGTAGTATTGATCATTGTTCCCTATGATTAAAGTAATATTCTTTTAATTATGTGATATGTTTGTTTATTAACTCATGTTGGTGGTGTCTTATATATATTTTATGTATGATTACTTTACCTTTATATTATATATTAAAAGTTGGTAATTCTCATAATATATTTTATGCCATTTACTTTGTAGTTTGTAAACATATACGGTATATAACATATTTTTGTAAGCATATATATATATATTATATTATTTAAGTGTATTATATATATATATATATAGTATGTAGAATGTATATTTATTTTATTATCCATATTATGTAATATATATATATATATATATATATATATATATATATATATATATATATACATGCGTAACACTTATATGTATATATAATTATTTTTATTAATTTACATATATATATATATATATATATATATATATATATTTATGCATATTATTTTTTATTAAACATCAATATATGTATATAGTTGGTTGATAATTTAGTATTGGTACAAAATCACCACTTTTGTTTGTTTAAGATATAGTAGTTTGTTTTTTTTATTATAATATATATATAATTATGATAATATTTTTCCCCACTTATTTCCATAATTTAAGCTATAGTGGTTTAGTTTTTTATTGATTATAATAATATATGGAATCATTGTAATGTTTGTTTCTTCACTCTACTAATGTAAGCTACATATGATGTTTACTTTCTTAATAATATATATGTAATCATTATACTATTTGTTTCCCACTAGTTTCCCTAATTTAAGCTTTGATTTGTTTGATTTAATATACTTTCTTATCATGATATTTTCTTTATTATAATTTATTGTCCATAATTTGTTTTAATTTAAGGGTCACGTTTCTTTCCTTTGTTTTTTTTATGTTCACATGATGATTCCTTATTATGTTTTGATGCATGTGTCTTATTTTTATTTATATTTAATTAAATATTTTTGATGTATTTTCATTTTCATTTAAATACATTTATGTGTACATATGTTTTGCATGACATTTTAATTAATTTTACATGGTAGACTCATAAGCATCCCTTGACTCTAATCGAAATAAATTGACTAATGGTGATATTCGATCATTTTAAAATTCTCGAAAGAAATTTTCTAATACGTGAATATTTAATCCATTTTAATGTATAGCATTAAACTTTAATACTATAACTTACATTTTAGATTTGAGCCCTTAAGTTCCTTAATTTTCATAATTTGACATTTTAAGTTAGAATAAGCCTTAATTTACTTTTAGTTAAATTAGGACAAATAAAATTTTGTTTGATTGCATTGTTTTTTTACAAATCTAAGGCACTGTTCACTTATTAAGGAATTAATAGTATATCTCCCGCGATCGTGCTCAGGGGGTGACTACTGGTAATTCCTTGAATAAGTTGACATCCTTTTCAAAATCATATCATGTTTTCTAAAAATGAGGTAATATGCGGTTATTAGGCACAATAGCTGATCTCCCGTATTTATGCTCAGGGACGAATGCTATCGGTCTCGATAAACGAATACCCTTTTCAACTTTGCATCCTTAATGATTTTTAAATTAAATAAAGATCGAACTCTAAATTTCTGATTTTAAATATAGGGTAATTAACTAGGTACCAATTTTTGGGCGCTTGTGGGGGTCTTAATTCTTCCCCACGCGTAACGGACTTCTGAACCTGATTTATGGATTTTTGCAGACCTCAAAACTCAGTATTTTGATAAAAACAAAATGTTTTATTAAAATCATCCGATTTTTATGGTGTTCCAATCGCACCTCAGATGATTGGTGGCGACTCCTCACCTTTCGAAATGATTTTCAAAGAGAAAACCCCAGTCGATATCAGTCTTTCCACGCCCTGGTGAAAAACGGTTACGACAGCTTGGCGACTCCGCTGGGGACATTTGTTTTTCTTA